AACAGACATGTGAAAAGATGTTCATCATCACTTACGATCAGGGACATGCAAATCAAAACTACAATGAGATATCACCTCACAGCTGTCAGAATGACTAAAATCAACAACACAAGAAACAGCAGGTGTTGGTGAGGATGTGGAGAAAGGGCAACCTTCTTATACTGTCAGTGGGGATGCAAACTGGGGCAGCCACTCTGGAAAACAGTACGAGGTTCCTCAAAAAGTTAAAAAAAGAACTACCTTATTATCCAGCAATCATATTACTGGTTGTTTACCCAAAGAATACAAGAACACAATTCAAAGGGATAAATGGAGGCCAATGTTTACAGCAGCATTATTTATAATAGCCAAGATATGGAAGCAGCCCTAATGTCCATCAACTGATGAATGGATAAAGAAGAGGTTATATATATATATATATATATATATATATATATATGTATGTATATATATATATTATTATTATATTATACACACACACACACACTGAAATATTATTCAGCCATAAAAAAGAATGCAGTCTTGCAATTTGCAATGACATAGATGGAGTTAGAGAGTATAATGCTAAGTGAAATAGGCCAAAGAAAGACAAATACTATATGATTTCAGTCATATGTAGAATTTAAGAAACAAAACAAATGAGCAAAGGGAAAAAAGGAGAGAGAGACAAATCAAGAAACAGATCCCTAGTTATGGAGAACTAACTGATGTTACCAGAGGGGAGTGGGTGGAAAGATGGGTTGAATGGGTGATGGGGATTAAAGGATGCACTTGTCATGATGAGCACTGGGTGTTGTTTGGAAGTGTTGAATCACCATATTGTACACTTGGAACTAATGTAAGTAACACTGTATGTTAACTAACTGGAATTTCAATAAAAACTTCAAAAAAACAAAAAAGAAAGAAATGTAATTACCAAAAGAGTACATTCTGCCCAATAGACAGAAAATAATACAGGATGGGCAGTGCTATGGTTTGAATATTTATGTCCCAATGCCCCCACCACCCTCACATTAGTGTGTTGAAATCCTAATGCCCAGTGGGATGCATTTGGTAAACTGGACTTTTGGGAAGTGATTAGGTTATGAGGGTGAGTCCTCATGAATAAAATAAGTGCCCTTACAGAAGAGACTCAAATGAGGACAGGAGAAGCCATCAACCAGGTAGTTCTATCAACTGTAATACTCTAGTGAAGAAAGGTGATAGTGAGGGAAGTAGGGGGTATATGGGAAATTTCCACCTTCCCCTCAATTTTACTGTAAACTAAAAATGCTCTTTTAAAAAGTCTTAATTTAGGGGCACCTGGGTGGCTCAGTGGGTTAAAGCCTCTGCCTTCGGCTCAGGTCATGATCTCAGGGTCCTGGAATCGAGCCCCACATCGGGCTCTCTGCTCGGCAGGAAGCCTGCTTCCCTCTCTCTCTGCCTGCCTCTCTGCCTATTTGTGATCTCTGTCTGTCAAATAATTAAATAAAATCTTAAAAAAAAAAAAAAGACTTGCTGTAAAGCTACAGTAATCAAGATGGTGTCATATTGGTAAAAGAACAGATGAATCGATGAATGGAACAGAATAGAGACTGTGATATTGTGATTTAGTGTTTTATTTTATTTTATTTTTTGTTTTAGAGAGAGAGTTTGATCAGGGAGCAGGGAGAGGGAGAGACAGAATCACAAGCAAGCTCCATAACCAGCACAGAGCCCAACTTGGGGCTTGATCTCACAACCCTGAGGTCATGACCTGAGCCGAAATCAAGAGTTGGATTTGTAACCGAATGAGCCACCCGGGTACCCCTGTGATACTGTGATTTATAATAAAAAATATATATTTGTCTTCCACACTTCCTGGCACATAGCTCCCAAAACCCTTATAATTTCCTACAATACAGCCATAGGGACATCTTTTGTTATACTATTGTTTTGTTCCCAGTTCCTGAAATAGCTCCAATGGATAAAGGTGAAAACGTGTCTTTTGTTATTCACAATAAGCCCTTTCAACTCTACCAGAGTTTATATTCATGAGATGATTTTTGGAAAGCCCCTAAAGATGGGGGCTGGTTGCCAGGGGAACAAACCCTGTGATTACAGGGTTAGAACTTTAAACCCCACCTTCTGACCTAGAGGTTGAATTAGTCCCCAGTGACCAAAGATTTAATCAATCATGCCTACATAACAAAGCCTGTATGAAAATCCCAAATGACAGGGTTTAGAGAGCTACTGTGTTAGTGAATGCATGGATAGGCTGGAAGAGTGTACCTTCCCTCACACCTTGCTCTATGCCTTGCTTCCATATGGCTGTTCCTGACCTATATTGTCTTAAGCTGGTAACCTGGTATGTAAAATGTTTTTCTGAGTTCTGTGAGCCACTCTAGTGTATTAATCAAACCCAAGAAGGGGGCGGGGGTGTCACGGGAATCTTTAATTTATAGCCAGTTGGTCAGAAGCATAAATAACCTGGATTTACATTTGGCATCTCAAATGTGTGGGTGTGGGGCAGTATTATGGGATCAAACCCTTAACCTGTGGGACATGATTTTATCTCTAGGTTAGACAGTGTCCGGATTGAGTTAAATTTTAGGAAACCCAGTTGGTGTCACAGAGTTGGGAAAAACCCCAACATTTGATGACAGGAAGTGTCAGAAGGAAACGTTATGAGAGTAGAGTTTTGAAAGTGGAGGAGAAAAAAATATTTCCCTTACAAGAGTCTAGAAGAAGACCCACATAAACATAGTCAACTATATTCATCTGATCTTTAACAAAGGAGCAAAGGCAATACAATAGAGAAAAAATAGTCTTTTCAACAAATGTGTTGGAACAATTGGCCATCACATGGAAAAAAAAAAATACAGACCTTAAACCCTTCATTAAAATTAACTCACAATGAGCCATAGACCTAAATGTAAAACACAAAAGTATAAAACTCCAAGAAGATAACATAGGAGAAAATCTAGATGACCCTAGGTTTGGTGACAATGTTTTAGATATGACACAAAAAGCAGGGGAGCCTTGTACTTTAGAATTTATCCTGAGGTGAAAGGAAATCCACTGAAAAACTTTCATTTTTATGAGATCATCCTGGGGGCTGAGTGGTAACTGGATTGGATAAAGCAAGACCAAGGGCAGAGAAACAAATTTGGAGATCATTGCCAAAGTCTAGATAAGAGAAGAAAGTTTAAGGTAATGGGATAAGTACCCTGGAGCAAGACGGAAAGTTTGGTCTTGAACATATGGAAGTTTCAGAGCCGTGGGACTGAAAACATCCAGGGAGCAGACGGTCTAATACTTAGAAGAGCATAAGCCAAAAGGCAGTGAAGAGGACAGCAGAGGGCCAGGTACAGAGGAGGAAGAGTGGGAGTGAGGCCCTGGAATGGAGGGAGTGTGGAAGAGGAAGTGGTGCCTTATGGTACTAAGTTTAAAGAAGTAATCAAAGGTGTCCTTGGCTGGAGATAATGGATGACTGAATCCTGAATAAAATCCACATTATGAGACAGAGAAAGGAAGGCCTTCTAGTACATTTTGTAGTCATACCTTTTCCGAATGCAAGTTATGTCTGTTTGTTTTTGCCTCATCTTTATGTCATTCTCTCCCCCCGCCTTCTAGTCTTCATAGGGAGTGATCATCAGGGTAAATGTCATCCCTTGCCTCTCCTTATTTAGGATTTCCTTTTGTACATTTACTTACTGAAGACAGTGATGTGACTTTTAATTGATCTGATACCTCCAAGGATTCAAGCATTTGCCTTATTTGTCACAACAGTGGTTTTATGAAAGTGGCAAGCAAGGCTGGGGGCTGTTTTCACCTAGAAATTCACCACTATAGTCCTTTCTGTGTGATACCAATCCAAATAGCTGGTGGAATGGTCACTGCCTGTCAGTGGTTCTTTTGACCAGTTATGAACTGTGGTCAACATAAAGATTGCTCAGTAAGTAGCTTGTAAGTAAGAAGAAACAAGGATCATACTCAGTGTCAATTCTTCCCTAATAGGACCTATTAGAGCAACTCTATGTTATTGTTCCAGGAAAAAGAAATTTACTGATTAATTAGTTTATTAATACAGAAAATCTTGCTATTAAGTAGCTACTTTGTATATACCAGGACATGTTTGCCACACCAGAAGGAGAAATCTTATAGCCTAATACTTCTTCTTTGTCAACAAAGCAGATAATGCTTAGCAGATGTTGCTGACGAACATTTGTAATTGACCGATTGACTAGTCTTTGGGCCATGGCCGAACAGCAGCTAACTTGGAACTATTACAACTTTTTATGAAAAGCCACATGGGTTGTATCCATTCAGTGTAGTTTTGTAACCAGAATAAAATTTTATCACAGAATGCTGTTTTATCTTCTTACCTGGAAAATGTGGAATTGTGGCAAAAAGTGTAATTCTTTAAGGAATAAGGACCAAACCACTTTAAAGAAAAATATTCCCTATTATAGTATATTGAGTATTCAATATGTAATATGGCAATTTTTCTGGGGTTCCTCCCCAGAATATGACTGTTGCTGGGGCTTAGCAAAAGGCTCCAGTGCAGGGCACTTGGGTGGCTCAGTCTGTTGAGTATCTAACTTGAGTTCATGTCATGATCTTGGGTTCTGGGATTGGGTCCCGCATCGGTCTGCACTCCGTGGGGAATCTGCTTCTCTCTCTCCCTCTGCCCCTGCCCCCATTCATGCTCTCTCTCTCTCTCAAATAAATAAATAAATAAATAAATAAAATCTTAAAAAAAAAGGGAGGGCTCCAGTGCACACTTACCACTAATATAATGTTTTATGAAATAAAAACACAATACCAGGGTGCCTGGGTGGCTCAGTGGGTTAAAACCTCTGCCTTCAGCTCAGGTCATGATCTCAGGGTCCTGGGATCGAGTCCCGCATCGGGCTCTGTGCTCGGCAGGGAGCCTGCTTCCCCCTCTCTCTCTGTCTGCCTCTCTGCCTACTTGTGATCTCTCTGTCAAATAAATAAATAAAATCTTAAAAAAAAAAACCCACAATACCAAACAAAAAGAATTCAAATACTTTAAAAAAAAATCAAGTTTGTTTTCAAGTTTGTTCTATTCAGTCTAATGACTACACAATAAAAGCAGATACACTAGCTTAATAGAATTGGCTTCTTTTCTACAGCACATATTGTCCAGGCCACAAATATAGTATTAGATGACAGAGAACGCTCAGGGTAACCATTTTTACAGAACTAGGAAATAAACTTCTAAGAATGACTTTTACAATCCTACCTTTAATATCCAAGTCCATTATTCTAATTCTAAAGAAGATAAACCCAATGACCTTCCTCATATGAGCTCATGAGCAAGAGTAGCATTACTATCAAAATCTGTATTTCTGATCCGTTATGAGCTTTGAGACAAGCTTCAAATACCCCCAAAGAAAAAAGCACAATGCACATTGTTATCACCTAGTCCACAAGAGTGAGTGCTGTGAGCCACATTCATTGGCATTTCCTCCACTGTGGTACTGTAGAAAGTCTCAATGTCACAAAGAATCTGCTCGTCTTCTTCAATGTTTATGGCCACAGCTTTTCTCCCAAATCAACCTCCACTGCCAATTCTGAACAAAAGAAAAATTATCAATCAGAATATTGCTTATCAAAGACAATATGGACTACTAACAGTATGAGCTACTTGTAACCATCAGTGGCTGTTTATTTGCCAGGATTATATGTAAAGTGCTTCTAACTAGATGCTAATTACAATATCTAGAGAAAAAGAACAGGTTTCTTTTGTAGATAGTGCAAAAGGATTCCTTTGGCTGCAAAATCAGATTCTATCAGGCATCTTAAGTATTATTATTTATAAAGCAGATGGCAGCATTGTGTTTGTGGTAGTGAAATTAAAGCCGGTGCCCAAGAGGGCCACCCAAGAGCAGTTGTTGGCCTGGGACGGATGCAAACAGAGGGACTAAACAAAAAGAACAGTTACATAATTCATTTTGACACAATTTTGGAACTACCAACTGCAAATATAAACTCTGGAATGTTAGCTATTGTTTGGACTATGTTGTCCAAAACAACAGCCACTAGCTACATGTGGATATTGAAATTAAAATTAAACAGAAAACACATTTAATCAGTTGCATTAACCACATTTTAGTAGCCACATTGTGGTTTGTCACTTCTTTGTTGGGCAGCACAGATGTGCAATATTTCTATCACTGCAGAAAGTTCTATTGGACAGACATGGTCTAGGACTTAAAACTTTTTACAGTGTGTGTGTGTGTGTGTGTGTGTGTGTGTGTGTGTGTAAGGAAGCTCCAAAAATCTGTTACGGTAACCTATATTTATCACAGTTTTCTGCTTAGTTTACCTCATACACGTAACACAAACAGCTGGGATATATTTATCACTGAAGTTCTCTACTAAAACAGATAATATGGCCAATCAAAAATGTCTTGGCTGGAGCAATTTAAAAGATCCAATAAACAGGACAAGAGAAAAACAAATATGGAAATACTGACTCACTCTATCCAAACAATATGCTGTTTCACTCATGAAACCATGTCCTAAATCAAACCAATGCCATTTCAGAACACTGCCTCCTATATTTCTTGAAACAAAGTTCTTCTTGCCTCAGTAGCAAGACATAATCAGTTTATTTAGTAATAAAACCACTGTATTTAAGCCAGAGTCAATGTAAATTTCTACCAGTAAATGCTAACAAAATCCCAATTATAGAAGAATCATCAAGAAAGCATGGGATATGAATAACAGGACAACAACAACAACAAAAGACTTATGTGTAAGAGAAGGCAACCAGATCTAACAGCATTATTGATTTTTCCTTTGAATATCAACTGTACAAAACCCAAAGTCTAGGCTACATTTCACATTTGTTTTCCTACAGTGTTCTGATCAACCATAAATCTACCCAAGTAGAATTTAAATACATCTTATCATGTAACTGGGTGGTAAGATTATTTTCCTCATTCACATACGTGATTTTGAAGGTTGTCTGGCTAACAAAATCACACAATATATAAATTAATTTCACCGGAATAAAAGCAAATACTCAATGAAGATGACAAATAGTCAGCTGAGAGTACAGTTTTCACAAGTAGTAGGCAGTCATAGTTTATAAGCATAGATACTAGTTGTTCATAAAAATCAAGAGCCCAAGATTATGATAGTAGACATTCAAATTCTGATTTAAAAAACAAGTACTGCATATCTTCCAGGCCATAAAATAGTAATGAACCACATATAAATCATACACCTCACTGTGGAGTGTAGTCTTCATTCCCCCACACAGCTAGAGCTGACCAAGACTGTTAAAAATCTTCCCCTCAAAACCAACTGCGATAGATAAATACGATTAAATAAAGAACTGAAATACCAGTAAGTTGGTAGTAATCAAAATGTGGCTTGTCCCTTATCTGAATTCCTTCTTGATAATGTCTCTTTCTTTCTGTCACCACCCGCAAAATATTAACAAGCCTTAATTCTCGAGAGTCATTCATCAAGTAGTGTTCAACTTGGTAAACATGTCTGAGACCATGCATCCCTGGCTGCTAAGTACCACAGCAGACAAGGCTAGAAAGGTAACAGTTTTATTTTGAGCAGGGGGCAAAGACAAGGCAGCACTTTACAGCTACATTGTAACTAGATCCTGCATCAGTTTATTAAGGACATGGTTAGACGTTAACACTGTCTTAACTACAGATACTAGGGAGGAACTACTCTTAGCACATCAGATACTGAAATTCCTAGCATGCATTTTCTCAGAAGCCAGTCTACCCTTTGTGCCACGCTCTGAAAAAGTACAGCATGTGTGGTCCGTCATTTGACACAGGGAGGACACAATTTTCTTCCCTCCAGTATTTCAGAGAGGAAAATGTTAATTCCTATCAGAGTGGGAATAAAAAACCATTTGATTTCTAACTCTCATCCTTTCATCGGAAGGGACCAGTTAGAAATTCATTCTATTAATTCTGCCTAAATACAGATATTCTCATCCCAAATCTTCAAACAAAGTATGCCAGACTTAAGAGGTTCATTTCAGTTTTTCTACTATCTGATATAGTTACTTTTCTTCTTGAGTTTATTCTGCTGGTTTTATTACCAATACAAAGACATGATACTAGTTTCTGCAATTTTAGTAGAGAGCTTAAGTAAGAAGGTAAAAAAAATGGCTATAATTTTTATGTATATCAACTAGAAAAACATTACCCCTTTTCAAAAATATTATGAAATGTTGACAATTTCATGGGTCAATTCTTCCTTCTTCATCAGAATTTGAACTTCTTGATTATTTCCAACATACTGATTGACATTAAGGCAGAAAGAAACCCAACCTTAAAAAAAAAAAAAGAGAGATGGCTAATTATGTTGACATATCAATTAAGCAGATATAACAGTTCTCATAACAATAATGAAGGAATAATGTTTGAGACCAAGCGTCCCTGTCTTACTATAGAATTGAGCTAGACAGAGATTGTAGGAAACAGTTGCTTTCAGCAGGGGCAAGGACAATATAGCACTTTACAGCTATATTGTAACAAGTAACCCAACCTGCCAGCGATCGACAAATCATGTGCCCACCTGAATACTTGTATTTACTTTCTGGTAAGTCTTGTGGATTTGACCTTTAATGCCTGGACTCAGCATTTTTATCTGCTTCAACATCAACAGTAGTAATCTTTAATATAATGAGATGAAAATGACACTTTACCTCTGGGTTCTTCCCCAAAAAAACCCATAATCCCAGTCTAATCTTGAGAAAAACATCAAACTCCAATACAAGGACAGCCTACTAAATATCTGACCGATATCTGACTCCCCCAAACTGCCAAGGTCATCAAAAACAGGGAAAATTTAAGAAACCGTCGCAGCCAAGAGGAGCTTGACAATTAAATGTAATGGGGTATCCTGGGTGGGATCCTGGAACAGAAAAAGGACATTAGGTAAAAACTAAGGAAATCAGAGTAAATTCTGGACTTCAGTTCATAATACTGTATCAAGGTCAGTTGGTTTGTTAATTTTAACAAATGTACCATATTAATATAAGATGTTAATAATATGGGAAACTGGTGACAAGGTATATGGAAACTTTCTAAACTATCTTCTCAATTTTTTCTGTGAACCTAAAACTGTTCTAAAATATAAAGTTTATTAAAGGAAAGTCTTAGTTTCATGTCAAGGTATTCACCCATGGCAACTGGCTTAAATAGGTAGGCTAATTATTTTCCTTCCCATACTGCAAATATCACTAGTTTAAAAATGCCCTCAGAAAAATACAATGATACTTACAAAGATATCTTGTATTTAATGTATTGGATGCTCTCCTTGAAATACCAACAACTGTAAGCGCTATTTCAGCTTGTATGTTGTGCATTTCATTTTGAATACCGTTTCCACAACGCAGGCATGGCAAGTTGTTTCCACACAGTAGTGAAGTGCCAGGATTGCCATTTGGATCTAAAAAGTCAAAGCTTAAATTATTATGTTGTAGAAAAACAAGTTTTAGCAAGCAATTTCTGAAGCACATAGCTAAATGCTGAACGGCTCACATTTAGTTTCAGATTCTGGTTTGCAAACAGCTTTTAAGCAGGTGAACACAGAGTCTCTTCTAAGCTTAAAACACAGAATTATCAAACTGCTTCATGATAAAATCCCTTTCAGTATCTCATTTTTAATTAGACTTTTGTGCCTTTACAAACTTGGGATCCTCAGTTCCTCGAGATACCAGTTAGAGAACCAGAGAACCCAGACATACATTTCCTGCATTATTCTTCTATGTGCAGGATATGTAAGTAGGGAAACAAGTTCTGTTTTTGCTTATAAGTACATATTCACTGATTATCACTTACTTTAAGACTAAAGGGTTTGGGGGTTGGGGTAACTGGGTGATGGACACTGGGAAGGGTATGTGTTGTAATGAGCACTGGGTATTATATAAGACTGATTAATCACAGACCTGTACCCCTGAAACAAATAACACATCATATGTTAATTTTTAAAAAAACCACCAAAAACCAAAAATGAAATCTTTCCAATAGGAAACTATGACATACAACCTTGATCTTCATAAAGCCTACAGCTTTGTTAAGAAAAGCTTTATTCCATAGCTAATACCAGTGAACACTGAAAACAGACAGCATGCCACAGATATATCACAGACTACAAAGATTCCCAACTAATTACAGATCATTGCAGTTTTCATGCTGCAAAATTGCATTTAGACTTAACAATAACACAAAGCTCAAGGATTCTGTCTACCCTGAAGAAAAGAACGTTTTAGAATCTCAGTCTGGTGAGATAGAGCCCTTCAAACTAGTTCCTGCTTAATTTGAAACAAAAACTCTATGCTTGCATATGGACAATAATTAAAAAGAAGTTTATGAATGGACCACCACTTCACACCAAATCTTAAGCTGTTCTTCACTTTTGTAACACCTGAAGCCTCTGAGGATTTACGTTGCCCAGGCAGGAGCCATGAAGCAATGTCGGAGGGTACAGATGTTAACACACAAGGACAAGCCCAAGGATTGACTACACTGATCTCAGAGTTCTATGGGATTGAGCCACCTTCAGGGCAACATGCTTGAGAGTTCAGCTTGCCCAGCCTCCTGATATGGTGCACTGAGATGAACACAACATCACTTCTGTGGTATTTCTTTCCCAAATGGATAGCTTGAGTTTATTTGTGAGAAGTGTTGGGGGAAAAAAAAAACAACGAAAAACCCACAATGGAGGGATATTCTATTTAAAAAACTGGCCTCCATTCTCAGTGATCGGCACCAACCACTACTGATGTATTTTTAGTATATGCAGAGATCTGGATATACTTGTGAATAACAAAAATCACTTCATCACCTAACCTACAAAATCATGGAGACAAAGACTGAGAAGCTGTTCCAGAATGCAGAAGGCCAAAGAGACAGAACAACTAAATTCAACATGTGATGCTATATGAGATTCTGGACCAGTAAACAACCATTTTTCTTCTCTTTTTTTGGTAAAACATTCATAAGTTGGACAATTGATGAAATCTGAATAAAGTCTATAAACAATATTATATCTCTTATTTTTTGATTTTGATAATTGTGTTATGATGTAAGACAATGCCCTTATATTTAGGTAACACACACTGAAATAATAAAGGGTAACAAGGCTTAATGTCAGTAACTTACTTCCAAATGCTTCAGAAAAAGCATATATATATGTGTGTGTGTGTGTGTGTGTGTGTGTGTATGCAGTTGTGTTTATATACAGAGAATAAAATAAATGTGTGACAAATAGTAACACTTGAGAAATCTAGGTATAGAATATAGGAATTCTTTGTCCATGTTTGTAGCTTTTCTGTAAGTCCAAAATCATTTCAAATTAAAAGTCATTAAAAATTCAAAATATGAATATCAACCCTACTAACATTTATAATTTACAGAAGAGAAACAACAGAAGTTATAAACTGGCAGCTCCTTTGTTTTCTTTGTTTTGCACAGTGTTTTAAATCTGAATTAGAGGCTTTTTGAGAAAATTTCAGATGCAAATCCAAATTTCCACCTTCACTGAAAAAACAGTAGATTGTAATCTTATTCCTTATCCTCTGATGGCAACTAACAAGTGGCTGCCCTCTTTAGATGGGCATATGCCCTGCACATCATTGGATCTCTACCTATCCTTATTTTTCTTAAAAAACTGGCTTTTTTACTCACGTATGTCGCTGGGCCAGCCCCCTGCAGATATTTGAGTGTGAGGTCTTTGATTTATCCAGGAGCTCCAGCTCTGCTAAACTTAAGTAATTTAATCTGGAGCTTCTGTCTGTGCCAATTACTAATTTTGAAAAGAGGAAGGCAAAGTGAAAAGTTTGTTCAAGCCCAAGAATCTCTTGTGAGAAATATGTAGTTGTGTTTTCATTTACTAGAAGATGAAAGATCACACAAAAAGCACTCAATGAGAATTAGTTAAATGAATCTGGAAATTAAAAATTTTAAATATAAAAGGGATGACTAGATGAGATTCTTTTTTCTCGTGCTCTGAAGATCAAAATTAACCTGGGGAAAAATTATGAGGGTTATTTGGGAAAGCACATGTTTTGACTCCATTTAGAGGGAAGAACGTTCTAATGGGTGACTGAAACTGTACTAAGCTACTTTCAGGAGGTGATGGATTTCCAGCTTCCTGAAGTGTTAGAGTTTGGGCCACAATTTAGTGAGGATGCTAAGTGGGGTGTTTGTTGGGGGGCGGGAAGCCAACTCATGTATGCAGCAGCCAGGAGTACCTGTCATGGTCCTTCCTATGCTCAGATCCATGATTCTATGGGGGTGCTTACGTCTCTAGGTAAACCAACACTTCTGTCACAGGATGGTAAAGAGAATATGAAACAACTCAACAATAAATCATGGGAACTCAAGGGCATCTGAGCCTCCAGGGTGTGATTTAGAAGGAGAAACCATGAGCCAGCCAGCCGGGGTCCACTGAAGCACGACTCTATCTCTAGCCCCAGTGTCTAAGGAAGTGGCTGCAGATACGGAAGACACAGCCACATGAGGAGTGAGCAAAATACACCAGAATGGACCAGAACAGGGTGTAGGAAGACCTAGTGTGTGGTCATCAGTGAGAGACCCATTTCTATAACATTAGGGGAATGGTTAAGGTATATTTAGCCTTTATGAGTGCAAAGCTCTACTTGGTAATAAAACATATCTGCAGAAAATGCTGTCTAAGAAAGAAAAGCAGGTTTAAATGAAGTTTCAGAAAAACATGATAATCGAGGAAATAGAAAAGCATTCTATACCTTATGTCACATCTGAATTTCGAAAGCAGTGGTCTCAGCTTTCTCTTTGAGGATGAGCTTCCCAGCAGAAAATTTCTCCGGCTGAAGCCGCCAGAGGGAAAATTGATCATTGTGTTGCTGAATGATGTGTGTGTGATTTCCAGCCTTAAACTCTGTGTGGTCTAACAGGTGGAGTAAGAAGCCAGTGTGATGTGCAGGCCCCAATCTAGCCCAGTGTGTTGTGCAGTGAGGAAGCACAACACAGTCCCTAAAGAAAGGGAGAATAGCATTTTCAGGAAAAATGCTTTAGAGCCTGTCCTCTATTAAACTACTATGGGACTATGGGACTCCAAACTGAACCTTGATATGACATGGACGACCTTGGTAGGGGGATGGAAATACTAATGTTTGCTGGGAGAAACCTCAGAACTCAGGTATTCTCTTTCCTCTGTAACACTGAGATCAATTCCTGAGAATGGCTTGTAAGGAATGTCAGACGTTTGAAAAGACTGAAGAGAATTTGATACAGCAGTTGCATAAATTGAAAAAATGAGGTGCGCAATGCTCAGGTGAAGTTGCCTACCACAAATTTCTTTTAGTACCAAGACTTCTCAGCGCACAAGTTTCTCCAGCTCTTCTAGAAGCTTGATGCAGGCACAAAGAAGGCAAATAGTTGGATTCATTCATGGTTGCAGTTTTCTTTGGTAGACAAATAGCTAGTAATAACTGACAGCATTTACAAACCTTGGGGGAGCCAGAATCAGGTTTTTGTTATGATTTTACAAATAATTAAGGATCAGATGTGATAAGTGACTTGTTTACAATCACCTGGGTAATAATAAAGAGTAGTCACTAAGAGTAAAACTTTAATCTTCATAATTCCACATTCCTCCATAGGGGGTGGAAAAGTTTTGTTGTTTTATGCAGAAAAATTGCAAAAAATTCCCAAGAGGAATTTTAGCAAATAGTCTGCAAGTAAACTGTTTTGTTTGTTTGAGAGAGAGAGAGAGAGAGAGAGAGCACAGGTATATGGGGAAAAATGGAGGAGGATCAGAGGGAGAAGGAGAGAGAATCTTAGGCAGGGCCCAGCAGCAAAGCCCTACTCAGGGATCGACATCACAACCCTGAGATCACAACCTGAGCAGAAATCAAGAGGCAGATCTTAACTGACTGAGTTACCCAATGCTGCTGAAAGTAACCTATTTGAATACTGTAAACACTAAGGAAATAAAACAATATGCAAAAAATATAAAATTCTACAGGCTTGAGTTCTGGTTTTTAAAGCATATGATGTCTACCTTACTATAAACAAACACTGACTATAAGCCCATTTTCTAGTTTTACCTGTCACCTTTTAGTTATTTTCTTTCCCATGGTGTTTTAGTTTCTTCTGTTTAAAACACAATGCAAGTAAAAACAATATAAAAAATTATGCATGGGGAAAATGAATGAGACTGATAAATAAATATTTTATTAGCCCAGCTTATGGATATTTCATTGGTAAAATTGGTATATTACAATCAAAAATACTTGTTTTAACCATTATTGAACAGTACATTTCTTTTCACTGAAATTCAGATATCCATAGTATTTTTAATTGCTTGGCTTTTTAAACTTAAAATAAAAGTTTATAAATTAAAAATTAATTGTAGAATAATTTGGTATGCCAAAGATTCTCACTTACTAAAGGTCAAATGTAATAGCTAATAATAGCTAAAATAATTACTTTTGATGTTCCAGACACTTGACAATCCTATGAAGTGGATATAATTATTATCATCTTTATTTTAAAGAAGAGGAAACTGAGACCCCAAGAGATTATGTAACTTGCCTACTGCCATCAAAGTGGGGGAACTAGGCTTTGAACCCAGGTGTGTTTCATTCCAGAATTTGAGCCCTTAGCCTCTGTAGGATATACTCCCTTAATCCCTACCTTCATAGTGATGTGTAGATCTCCTTCAATACATATGAATATAACCTTGTATGCTAACATCAGAGCCAAATGATATGACACTGTTTATTAATTATAAAATACACTTTCATCATCACAGAGCTGTACTGTACCTTGACAGTGTAATACAGTTACTTCTTCCCTAAAATAAAAAGAAAGCGGTCCAGCCCTCTGAGAGGTAAGTTTGCTTTTGTTAACCCAATTTATTCCAACAATAAGAACTCCTGAGGAGTCTTCTCCTGATGAAGGACAGCAGAACTGAAATGGGTTTTTAAGGTGTCCTGGCTTCATCACCCACTAGTTGCATAACCTTGGACAAGTCTCTCCCTGTTTCATCAGAACATGGATTATAACAACACTCCCCACATAGGTTCTGCTGTAGAATTAGGCTGTAAATGCTTAGGAGGTGTACAAGTGTTATTTTAGTCTGGGGTTGCCAGATAAAAAACAACACACCCAGTTCGATTTCAGACAAATAACAAATAAAAAATGTTTTATATTTAAATTTCTCTTTATATTGGGGACATATTTATACTAAAAATAATTGTTTATCTGAAATTTTAAGTTTAACTACCATCTTGTATTAAAAAAAAAAAAAGATCTTATTTATTTATTTGAGAGAGAGAGGGCATGAGCGGGGGTAAGGGCAGAGGGAGAAGCAGACTCCCCGCCGAGAAGAGAGCCCCACCGGGGGGCTCCACCCCCAGACCGGGGCCGGAAAGGCAGATGCTTAACGACTGAGCCACCCACGTCCCCCTCCTCTGGTATTTTTATTGCCAAATCTGGTAACTCTACGGCGAAGAGAGCATGGAGAATGGCAAGCCCAGCTCCACCGCCCTCCACCTCCCCCGTGCCCCAGTAGAGAAACCGAGGCAGGCAGCGGGCTGACGGGTGAACGTAAGGAGGGGGGAGAGAAGGAAGGCTGGAGGAAACTCAAATGCATATTGCTAGGTGAAAGAAGTAATCTGAAAGATTACCTTTCAGGGTGGGACTGAAAGCAGAACTCCGGGTCTCGCGGATTCTTTTCTCTGCTCCTCCTCCCCCTCCTCACCTCTCTGGGCGCTGGCAGGCCAAACATCCCCCGCCCCAGAGCGCGACCGTTACCTCCGCCGCAGCAGCGGGCTACGGAGGCGCTGCCACCGGCTCCTCTCAGTCGCCATCAGCAGCACCGAGACCACAGAGGCCGCCGCCATATCCCCGGAGCCCGGCTGCTTGTTGATGTGCGACTGCGTCTCAGATGTCACCCAAATCGTCCCTCCATTCTGTCTGGAAGTCTCTTGTCCTCCTCTGGCCACCATCCAGGTCAGAAGCAAGAAATAAACCAATCCGAGCAAGGAATTCGGAAGGGGGCGTCACCATTAAAGCCAATCAAAGAACAGAGCAGAGGGCTTCAGGGATGGCGATTGGTCAATTCAGTGATGGCGATTGGTCAATTGGTTTTCTGCGCCTTCATCTCCTGCTGGGAGATGTGGGACCGGTCCTCAGACTCGTTAGGCCCTTGGGGTCTAAAGTGTTCACCTGTGATCCGTGGGGTTCTTTCTCTGTCGCGGGCTCTAGGGCGAGGAACCCTCCATGATCTTTAATTTTTAAAGGCTCTGAGGGGAAGAAGGGAAGAGAACTGTCATAATATAAAGGGATGTGGGCTAAGAAGAATACAAAATTTTATGTTTTCAAGAATGTGAAAAACATATTAAATTCCTCCTAATCATCTCAAAACAGAAATTACACAATTTTTAAACAGACTTGCTTTTTAAATATTGAGATATAAATGACATATCGCATTGTTTAAGGTGTACAATGGGTTGATTTGACACATTTATATATTGCAAAAGAATTATCACCATAACGTTAGCTAACACCTCTATCAAGTCACATAATTATTTTTGTGCATAGTGAGAATATTTAAGATCTAGTCTCTTAGCAACTTTGAGGTATATAAAACAGTGTTGTTAACTATAGTGACTATCTTGGGCATTAGATCTCCAGAACTTTTTCATTTTCTAGTTGCAAGTCTGTAGACGTTTTCACAGCAGTTTTAGGTTCATAGCAAAATTGAGCAGAAGATACTGAGGTTTCCCATGTACCCGCCCCCCGCCCCCACCCATGCACAGCCTTCCCCATTATCAACATCTCCCACCAGAGTGATACATTTGTTACAACAGATGAACCTACACTGACACATCATTATCACCGAAAGACTGTATTTTTTTGAAATCATTCTTGGTGTACTTTTATGAGTTCAGATGAATTTTTAACGATATATGTCCACAATTGTAATACCATAAAGAGTAGTTGTACTGCCCTAAACATCTTCTGTGCCTGCCTATTCATTCCTCTCTCCCCCATACCCCTGGCAACCACTGATCTTTTTTTTTAAGATTTTATTTATTTATTTGACAGAGAGAGAGAGAGCGAGAGAGCGAGAGAGAGCGAGGCAGAGAGCATGAGCGGGTGGGGGGGGGGAGCATGGGAAGAGAAGCAGCAGGCTCCCCTCTGAGCAGGGAGCCTGACTTGGGACTCGATCCCAGGACTCTGGGATCATGACCTGAGCCGAAGGCAGGCATTTAACCGGCCAAGCCACCCAGGCACCCCCACTGATCTTTTAAAATGTGTCTGTAGTTTTGCCTTTTCCAGAATGTCATGTAGTTGGAATTATACAGTAGCTGTTTACATTTTTAGTAAGTAATCACTTCTTTCAGATTACTTCTTTCACATAGCAATATGCATTTAAGTTTCCTCCGTGTCTTTTCATGGCTTGGTATCTCATTTCTTTCTAGTGCTGAATAATATTCCATTGTCTTGATGTACCACAGTTTATTTATTCATTCACCTGCTGAAGGGCATATCGGTTGCTTCCAGTTTTGGCAATTATGACTATAACTGCTATAAGCACCCATGCAATGGGTTGTTGTTTGGAAGGATAAAAGAAGAAATTCATAAATTAGAAAATAGAAATGGGAATACTCATAGGTATAAGATATGAAAAAATAACAATATAAAAGACAGTTGGGTAGACAGAAGACGTAAAATCAAAATCAAAATAAGGAGAAATAATTACAGAAGCAAAAAATTAATAGAATTATATGGGATCACATTACTCACCTCTCTGTAATATATTTGAAAACCTACATGAAACAGATGAAATTTCAAGAAAATATAATTTATCAAAACATCCCAGGAAAGATAGAAATTCTATATATATGGTTACCATAGAATAAATAGATGTTGTCAGAAAACTGTATTTTCCCACAACTCCATCCACAAAATCACCAGGACTATATTATTTCATAGGAAAATTCTACTGAGAAACATTAAGGAACAGATGAGTTGGTTGCTATTGATTCTATCCTGAGCACAGAAATAAGGAAACCTTCCAAATTCTATTTATGAAGTGAGTATAATACTGATAGCAAAATTTAATAAAACACACATATATCTGATACATACATATACACAGTGACCACAGTCTTTTTAAAAAGATTTTATTTATTTATTTGAGAGAGAGAGAACACACAAGACCGAGAGCAAGCAAGCATGAACAGTGGGGAAGGGCAGAGAGAGAGGAAGAAGCAGGCTTCCTGCTCAACACAGGGCTTATCCCAGGACTCCAGGATCATGACCTAAGCTGAAGGCAGATGCTTATCTGACTGAGCCACCCAACTGTAGACATTCTCATCCAGGAATCAATATGGCAGGATGTTGGTGAAAGAATAGACAAATAGATCAGTTGAACAGAATAAAATGCCTTGATATACTCCCACACAGAATAAAATGCCTTGATTTTTGACAAAGAGCAATGGAAATTCAATGGAAAAAAAGATAGTCTTTTCAACAAGTAGTGCTGGAAAAGCTAGGAATCTAATGTGATAAAATGAATCTAGACACTAACCTTACATTTTTCACAGATATTGTCTAAAAATGGACTAGACCTAAATATAAAACAAAACTCTAGAGCTTCTAGAAGAAAATGTAAGAGAAAATCCAGGTGACCTTGGGTTTGGTAGTGACTTTTAGATATAACACTAAATGTATGATCCATGAAAGAAAAAAATTGATAAATTATTCTTCATTAAAATTAAAAACTTCTGCTCTGCAAAAGACAATGTGTAGAGAATGAAAAGACAGGCCAAAGACTGGGGGACAATATCTGCAAAACATGTATCTGATAAAGGGCTTCTGTCCAAAATATATAAAGTACTACTAAAACTCAACAATAAGGGGCGCCTGGGTGGCTCAGTGGGTTAAAGCCTCTGCTTCTGCTGGGGTCATGATCCCAGGGTCCTGGGATTGAGCCCCGCATTGGGCTCTCTGCTCAGCGGGGAGCCTGCTTCCTCCTCTCTCTGCCTCTCTGCCTACTTGTGATCTCTGTCTGTCAAATAAATAAAGAAAATCTTAAAAAAAACCCTCAACAATAAGGGGCACCTGGGTAACTCAGTGGATTAAGCCTCTGCCTTCAGCTCAGGTTATGATCTCAGGGTCCTGGGATCTGGCTCTCTGCTCAGCAGGGAGCCTGCTTCCCCCTCTCTCTCTCTGCCTGCCTCTCTGTCTACTTGTGCTCTCTCTCTCTCTCTCTGTCAAATAAATAATAAAATATTCAAAAAAACCCCCTCAACAATAAAAAAAGAACAGGAAGTGGGCAGATACCTCACCAAAGAAAATATACTGATAAGCATGCAAAAAGTTGTTTACTGTCATATATCATCAGGTGGTTGCAAATTTAAACTGCTATGAGATAACACTAATACCTGTTAGAATAGCCAAAATCCCAAATCCTGACAACGCCAAATTCTAGTTTTGATGTGGACCAACAAGAACTCTCAGTCACTGTTGGTGGGTATGTTAATGGTTTTATAAGACAGTTTGTGGTTTCTTACAAAGGTAAACATAGTCTTACCACACAATCAAGCAATTGCATTTATAGGTATTTGCCCAAATGATTTAAAAATTTTAAACCCACATAAAGTCTCTGCTTTCAGCTCAGGTCATGATCCCAGGGTCCTGGGATCGAGCCCCACATCGGGTTCTCTGCTCAGCAGGGAGCCTACTTCCCCCTCTGCCTCTCTGCCTGCCTCTCTGCCTACTTGTGACCTATGTCTGTCAAATAAATAAAGAAAATCTTTAAAAAAAATTTTAAACCCACATAAAAACCTGTGTACAATGTTTACAGCAGTTTTATTCATAATTGCCCCCAACTGGAAACAACCTAGATGTTCTTCAGTAGGGGAATGGATAAACAGATATCGCTATACAACAGAATATAAGGAATATTATTCTGTGATAAAAAGAAACAAGTTAACAAGCCATAAAAAGACACAGAAAAAAACTTAAATACATATTGGTGAGTGAGGGAAGCCAGTCTGAGAAGGCTACATACTGTATGATTCCAACTATATGACATTCTGGAAGAGGTGAAACTATGGAGACAGTAAAGAGATTAGTGGTTGCTCCAAATTTGAGGGGAAGGGAGGATGACTCCCCCCCACAGTGGACCATAGAAGATTTTTAAAGCAGTGAAACTATTCTGTATAATTGTAATGGTGGATACATACAAGACATTACGCTTTAGTCAAAACCCATAGAATAGTACAATACAAAGAGTGAACCTAAGACTTATGGAAAGAGCCTAGATGTCCATCAACAGATGAATGGATAAAGAAGATGTGGTATATATATATACAATGGAACACTATGCAGCCATCAAAAGAAATGAAATCTTGCCATCTGCAATGACATGGATGAAACTAGAGGGTATTATGCTAAGCAAAATAAGTCATTCAGAGAAAGACAACTATCATATGATCTCTCTAATATGAGGAATTTGAGAGGCAGGGCAGGGGATTATGGGAGGTAGGGAAGGAGAAAATGAAACAAGATGGGATCAGGAGGGAGACAGACCATAAGAGACTCTTAATCTCACAAAACAAACTGAGGGTTGCTGGGGGGAGGGGGGTAGGGATAGGGTGGCTGGGTTATGGACATTGGGGAGTGTATGTGCTATGGTGAGTGTTGTGAAATGTGTAAGCCTGATGATTCACAGATCTGTACCCCTGAGGCAAATAACACATTATATGTTAATAAAAATAATTAAAAAAATAAAATTCCAAGTGGTTTTGCCTACAGGTGATGGAATTATGATCAATTCTCCTTTTTCCTACTTCTTCCTTTCAGTTTTTTGTACTTTGCTAATGTGTTCTGCAAAGAAAATACATTATTTTGACCATAGATTAAATATGAGAGAGGACATATATGGGGGAGGAGAGTGAAAGTACAGAGGTACAGGCAGGTGTCCT